GTGACGGAATTCCCGAACTGTTCGCTTATGTAACTAGTTTCACAGGAGCAGTTTAATTGAAGAAGTTTGTCATTATTTTTGGTTTTTAGGATAAAATCTTTTCAGAATAAAGCATACGGTTTGTTTTTCTGCGGAGCTTTTCTTATCAGTATTATTTCATTAGTAGTTTCGTCTATAAACTCTAGTTTTAGGGGCAAGGTGTTCTAATTTCCTCTTTATAATTTAATTTTCATTTACAACTTAAATTTTTAGACTCATTTCCGATCGAGACTAGGAGGAAGTGACCAGTGTTTTGTTTCTGAATGTTGGCTGGATTCTCTTTAGTAGTTTCAGTATAAAGATGAGAGTTTACTTACACTTTCAGAGTTTTTTGTCATGTTTTAGTTCGTGTATCAGCCAACAAAAATTTAAAATATGCGTCACTTCTTTTTCAATGACATGAATCTCTCAGTACTGATGTATTCTACTTTTTGATCGTAAACCATTAACATATTTTTATTTACATTTTTATAACGACATCGTATTTTAGATTTTTATGCAGAATTATTTTAGGAATATTGTCAGGATATTTTCATTCACGTCATTGAGGATAAACGTTTTATTCCTCGCACACTGGTTAGAAAATCCCCATCAGCAATGAGTTCTTCACTTATCGAAGTTAATGACTTACTGTTACTATTATTTTCTACAATATCATATAAATATTATGTTTATTAGTTATACACTATTGTCATCTTTAATTTTTTTATACTTCACTTTTATTAAATCCTTCGATGAACAAACATTTGTGGAACTCGTTTTATTCACTAAGATCAAAAATCAAGGTTAGTTACACAGAAAGTGTATATTTTGATAAACTATGATTAAAATGTAAACAAAAAACATCCAGTATGTATAACTGAAGCTAATTCACAACACTCCTTTATAAATGAACTATTAATTCTACAAGTGTAATTGTTTCTTTAGTAAGAAATATCAAATATTGCAGTATTGTGTCGTCTATGATTTAATTATTAGAGCTGGATCCAATTGGTTAATCACAAACTCAAACTCATAGTTCTAATCAAATTCGTGTCAAGAAGAATGAAATTAATGACTCAGATTTGACATTAAACAAATTCTACGCTGTTTTTTCAAATCATGAATACAATTTCAGTACATTTTGATATATTTTACCATGTCCACAAACATGGACTGGTTTTCGGTTTATGCTAGTTTCGTAAAGCCTATTATGTAACAACTTTAGTTAATTACATTGCTTCGTGACCTTCGAGTGTTGTTTAGCTACAAATCTAAATTTGTATACTACATTGTTATTTATATTGGTGTCTGCAAATTTTTATTTGGCTCTTTGGAATTCACAAAGTAGGTACTTCTTGTCGGAACGTTATTAAAAGTAGCTATGGGACTTCTCTGCTATTAATTACAATTATTTCACAATAAGATTGGCCAACTAATTTACCTACTGTAAAAAACGATTTTATACTAAACAACTGTTCAGTCGTTTAACAGCGTAATTAATACGGCGTAACGGTTGTTTACTTTTACTTATGTTGAAGTATAAGAACCGAATACTGAAAACAATTTTTTTAAGATAAAAGTATTATGATGAAGAACTCGTTGCCGATGAAAGATGTTCATCGCTAGTTTACAAATTAAATTGATCTAAAAATCTCGGATGTATGAGAATCTTGTTTATGTGAATAGACTTGTTTTGAGCAAAAGACTGATTTCTTTCCTAAATCAGAATTGTTTATTCTACTAATCTATGAGAACTAGTTATATCCATTCATTATATTGATTTACAATATCTTCATCTTCTATAGGCACTTTAGTCAATAACAGTTCGTCTAATGCACTTCTCTCCGTTTCGAATTATATCAGCAATGAGCAGGCTGAATTAGAAGAGGCACAAAAGAAGTTAGATAAAGAAGCAGCTGTACTAGAGCAGCGTTTACGCCAACAAATGGCATACGAGCCAGGCACCGCATTAGAAGAAGAATTGTTAAGACGATGGTTTATTTTAGTCAATAAGAAGAATGCCCTAATTCATCGGGGCTTCCAGTTGTCTATAATGTAAGGCCGTTTATCCTTTTATCCGTATTATAAGTGTGATATTCTTTATTACTAATGGATATTTCAATCTATATGTTATCTAAATAAATACGTTATTAACTCAACTTATACAATCACAATTATTTCAACGGCCTTGCTTCTATTTTATCAGATTGTTGCGATAACATCGAGTTCGGAAAATCGAACAGATTTATTGGATACTTCTAAGAGTCGTCCTCTCTTAGATTAAAGCAGTATTAGGGTATATTTTGTTGAGATATTTTAAATCAGACTACATTAAAGACAGAAGCCTGTAAAATAGAATAAAGAAGAGAATAGCGTACATTCAAATAAATCCAGTAGGTTGCCAAAAAGTCGTTTTCTTTTTAAGCTCACTACCATTTATTCCACTGTAATTTGTCTAGCTTCTTCTGCGAAATTGGAGCAGTCAAAAGTTGCCAAATGAGATCACCTTTTTTCAGTCAGGTGCAAGTTATTGATCAATAAATGGTTTCATTCTCTAAGGAGTAGATATATGTATGAATTAGTGATCATAGATGTGTACCGGTTTAGCCCGTTGAACTTTCTTTACTCGTAGTTTTCTCACTGGTAGCCACCTAGACTTGCGTATGAGAAGTTTTTTTATCAGTATCAGACTCCAACATTACTCGTCATAACATCTTATCTAAAAATTAAGGTAGATAAACTTTCTTCGAAGCGCTTTGTAATCCAATTAAATTTTTGAAACTAATTATTTTGTATTTAAACCATCCTATTTACCCTGATCCTTTTTTGTGTTAGAACGTACGCGATAATCGTCACTTTTTTATTCTTAGTTGAGCCTGTCGTGATAATACAATGTTCCACCAAAATGTTATTATACCATTGCATCAATAACAAATTGTTTATTTATTTCAGGGAGAAGGAAGATGATTTGAAAAAGAAAATGAAAATGTTGCAGGATGAATTACGATCGATTTTATCCGTTGAAGGTAAATTTAACTGGATATTACCACTGACACACAGACTAAGCTACTAAAATTAACGGGAAACAAGATTACCTTGGAGGATAACCATAAATAAGTGGTATATTTGTGTTATAACATAACGGTGCAATCATTTACCTTTCCAACAAATTATAAAGTGCTAGACATGCTATTTTTCGTGATTTCAGTTCTTAATTTTGCGTCCAAAAACTTAACTTCCCCATCCTCTAGTGATCTTTGCTTTTCCCTGTGTGGTTGTCTTTGAGTTTGTTCTTTTTTTATATTTATTAACAGACTACACATAGAAACAGTGTTCCCCATAATTTAGCATTTTACGGCGACAATAAATTTTTCTTCTAAATGAACATGTATTACGGGCAGTCAGGTGTAATGCTTGATATTGCATATTTCTAGTTTATAATAGACTCGTCCGATTCATATGTTTAGTGAACATTTGTCACCTCAAGAAGGTAAGTAGCTTTGAGCTTCAAACGCTCTGCGTCTTACGCGATTTTTTTTCTGTCTGTATGAAGTTGGTTGCTAAAATGAAGGAAGAACAACTTATTTCTCATGACAAAAACCGATTAGTATTTATCCCTGAATTTTTGTAGGCTTAGATAAAACTACATCACTTTTATGTATCGTTACATTTGCTTATCTGGGTCTCGAAAAATCTAGTTAAGTGTCTTACTTTATCTTATAAATGTGAGAAATGAACTCGCAACACCTGGAGATAACGACAACAAAAGCGTTGCCACAAGTTTATGGGCATAAAGTATTTGTTAGCTTAGGCGTTAAGTTCATCATTCAAGCATTGGGGAGTCACGTAGTATCATTAATCACAAAAAAAGGTCTGTGTACAAATGTATTTTTTTACCGAGTCACATTCAGTTATTAAACCTCTTTAATGCAACGTGTGTAATTTGTGATTTCATTAAAATCTCATACTAATCGGTAAAACTTTTCTCGAAATAAAATAGATTATTTGAAAACAGATAATGATAGAAGACGAGAAGATCTTCTTTTACAAGATCTTGTACGATTGGTCAATGAACGTGATGACATCATTCAGGAATTGGATTTGCATGAGAAAGTGTAAGTTGTTTGTATTTTTAACGATTTTTGTAACTTAAAGATTAGCTGAAGAACTAGAACTGGAGCAAAATGCAGGTTATATGTCATATGGGAGGCGTAGAATCGACAAAAGTTGTGTACTACAATAATGCTTAACTTATCCAGACAAGCGTGTACAATGGGCTGTGATTCATAATAGAAAATATGTTTCACTAACCACTTCTGTTCGGGATTTATTTACTCATTGATGTGTACATCGATTCCTTTTGAAAAAGAGTACTATTACAGTCTCTTTCAGCGCCATATTTCAATTACTGTCTCAGGCGATCACTTTTTCGTGTATTTTCCCCAGATGTCATTTAATCAGTCTTTTTCTGACTCCTGGAGTAAACAAATTGTGATGTTACTTTTCATTTTCTTGGGATTGCTTTGTGTTATGAAAAAGTTCCTTGTGTTGTTAACTTTTATTTCATATTTACTTAAAATATATCAAATTATTTCGAAAACAGAATGATTGTAACCTGTCTTATACTGTTTTATTTATCAATAATACGTTTCATGTATATGTAGTCATTGTTATTGTATATTTCTCTTTTCTTTCTTGAGAGTCTATTATGGAGTTCAAATTGAGAATAATACAAGTTTAAACCAAAGTGAAAAGTATGACTTCTCATCGGTTATCAAGGGTTTAGACGAACATGATACGCATGTCAATGCTTCGTTTAATAGCACCCACTAGCAATTACCCGGATAATGAATGTTTCCCTTAGATTCAGCCCTTAACATTAGAAATTCATTTTGCATGCATATATATATACTGTTATATGCGAAAACAAATCTTTAAAATTATACATAAATTTCTGAAAGGCATCTCAGGCAAATCAGTTATCTGTTCTTCACTAGTAACTTTGCAGGATATTGCTCGGAACTTAAGTCTTTGATTGAGAACAAACGGCTAGCTCGTTCTTTCAACGTCCCTCCGCACTTTAAACCCCGAGCCATTAAGGTTGCTTTAAGAACATCTAAGCCGAACACTTCGAGGTTTTCAGCAGTATCTACTTCACGCAACTGTTGGTCAGTCAAAGGTTGTGCGGTTTCTTTTGAGGTATTTCTACAAGCACTTTGCAATTCTTTTTTATCTTCGACTGAAATTTGAAAGAAATGCATTACTATAGTTAAATTTTTTATTCATCAGTCGTTCAGAAACAACAGATTAACGACCTATATGATTAATAAATGTAAGGATTTTTACTTACTGTCATTGCTTCAAAACATATCAATGTACCTATTGTGTTTCGTTTTATTGACACTAAAAAATATGCTTATCGTTGTGCAACGAAAATCATCTTTTCATTGGCATTCTTGTTCGAACGTATTCCAATAGCTGATTCGTCATTGGACCTCATCTATTCATATAATCGTCTACTTTTTTGTTTAAAATACATTTGCAGTAGAGCTAAAAAGTGGACTCATCGTATGATAATAATTCGTAAGTTAGTCTGTTACTAACTTTCGAACATTTTGTATCAAGTGTAGGTGGATTCCGTAAGTTAGGAAACATATAATATAACCAGAAAACATACAGATAAAAAACCGATGAGTCCAGCTTGATGAGAATGCGGTCGTAATCGCAGTTATAATTAACACATATTTGACCTGTTCGTAAACTGACAACAACTTTTCAATACGAAACCGCTGTGAAAGACTATCGCGGCTAAAGCAGTTTATAACCTCTGTACTCATATATATAGTATTCCATGGTAAACAAGGACAATGGCTTATCAGTTTTCGAGGTTAAGGGATTGAAACCAATAAAGCTATCAAACAAGTCACATAGTGTGTAATAAAGTTGACAGTAGTACTTTAATTAACGTACGATTGTTTTTTCTAAATGTATTTAATATGAATAACCTTGAAGAATTTCGAACAACGTGGTAGAAACTATAACTGATCATGGTCTCATTTATACCAAGCTTTAGAATGATTATGATGGGAAAACAGAGCTGCTTGGTCTTCTATACGATAATAATTAGAGCGACTTCTAAACTTTCCAGTGGATACCGAGGTTACTTATTATCTTGCAAGTTCAGTCGAGTGCACCAATGTATATTGAATTCTTCATAGTGAACAAGATACTAACTTACCGATTACATCTGATTTAATACTGTTAAGGATTTCTGTAGAATCCGTTTTGGCTTTGGTATCATCTTTTACGGGCAAATTATCATCTTGTTTTGCAAGACTAGAGGAAATGTCAAATGACGAGCTAGCCGAAAATTCTTCATCGCTAGAACCCGAAGACAGCTCTTTGTCCATTTCCTCAATCCATAATCGAGTACGCTTTGCATTCAGCTGCTTTTCAGAGGAAATTACAGGTTGGACTTCCGTTTGTTTCTTTTCTTTCTTAACATTTTCTATGGCTAAACTCAGTGTAATGAATTTTGTATCAAGCGACCTTACCTATATCTAAGGCTCCCCGTAGTTCGTAAGCAATTTTACGTTTCTGTCGTTCATATTCACGATCTGAAAAACTATGTTCAGGTAAAAGACCCTGTTTTAATAGTTCTTGACGTTTTCGTCGTCTTTCAATATATTCCTCTGCTTTTTTACGTTCCCGTTCGTCAGCCGTAGCATACCATTCCTTTAATTTTTTTTCCAGGTTTACATCACGCATTCTCCTACCTGATAAGTCTCTGCACATTTCATGATTGGTTGTCTTCTCGATTTGACTCCCAATAGCCCGTAGCATAGATCCAAAACCCCCTTTACCACCGCGCAAACGATAGTGCACGTTCAACAAAGCACATTCAGGAATTTCTTCCATATTATTTACTATGCGTCCATTATATGTGTAATAAACATCGTCAGTATTACATGCATCATGTAACCAATCTGTATAAGTTATATATCTGGGAAACGGAGCACCAAACAACGCCATCTGAAATGTCGAATTATTATTCATGTAAATCGTAAATCATAGAGATATACTGGAGCCAATATGTTTTAAAACGTAATCAAAGCTTCCTTGAAAACTTAAAAGGATAACATTAGAGTTCGAATCCTGCGAGGCGGAACAGTGGATACGCATTGCAGAAAAGTCCCATACTGGGACAAAATGGCCGTCCAGTGCTTCCAGGTTTTTCATGGTGTTCTAGCTTCAATTGATTCATGATCTCAACAATTGAAATTACTTAAGTCTCCACAAAATCCCCTTCTAAAAATTTATGAGCTAGATAAGCCGGGAGAGTAGATCCATGTGACTCTTGTCGAAATTCCCAGCACTACTGGTAGGGTGTTATATTATTCCACAGTTCTAGAGTTTGTCGTATCTCGTGTGTATTTCATGAAGACACTGAATACGAAGATCGAAATAAGATGAAAAGCTGTGAGACGTAGATAATGGTAACTTACACACAGGGAGGATGTACAAAACGATGTCGGAGTATGGAAGGTACATTAGTCTATCAAGATCCCAAAAGATTAGTCACATAAAAATTAAGTACCGAAATAAGTTATTGGGTACTGATATAGCTGAACTATCGCGTGGAAGAAGTGGAAATGAGTATATTTAAGTTAGGGTGTTGATCTTTTGTTAGGAGACCGATTTATTGATTTATAACGTGCAGATATAGGTTTTTGGTGAGAACGCTCACAAAATTTATACTTCTAATCGCACTGAGAAAAAATGCAAGCGTATTCATGAATGCGTTTCACTCGCTCCAAATTCGAAGTTTTGTTTCAGGACTGGTCTTCAGTCAGTCACGTACAACGTTATTCCAGGCACATATATGCATCGGTCCAAGTTGCCATACCCCATTAGCACAACAAGGTGAACACCGAGTACATAGAAGCAGCTATTTTAATAGTAGTAATATATATAAATAAAGATTGCATATGAGGGTATGATATAGTTAGAAAAATTTAGTTTGTAAAAGAAAAGGTATAAAATAATTTTAATTTCCTAAGTGATTCAAATCCTCATGCCTACACTAATGGCAGTTAAATTCGTTGTCCATTTTACTTTTCAACGACAAAATCTGGGTAAAGATTTGGAAAACTCAGGAGTTCGCTCTGTTTACTTTATGGCTATGAAACGTGGTTTATGGAAATAGACGATATTCGAAGGTCGCTACTGTTCGACTATAAATACCCCTTAACCACTGCTGGTGTTACGTGGAACAACCAAAACCAACCCTGAACTACGGTATAAGATATTAGGCAAAAATTATAAATCGATCGAGGTTGTGAGTCCTCATTGATTGAGATGGTTAGAACACATAACGTATACTAAACCAACCTTTACTCTGATGCACGGTTACCTGATATGAAAGTGGGTTGAAGGAAAGCTAGGGGCACACCAACTCTTGATTTGAGTCACGCCCCCAAATGCCCTGGTTCGGCCGAGAGTGGGGAGAAACCGCTCTCCCTCTCGAAATACTCTCACACGGCCACGCGTGTACAGCCTCTGCCAGGGAAGTCCTACTCACTGCCTTCTCGCACCACGGGTGTTGTTTACGAAAATGAGAGGACGGAAAGCGAACGTCCGGCGCTTTAACCGGACCTCAAACCAATGGTGCACATGGGCCCCAGTATCCTGCGGGAACAAATGGCGTATGAACCAATCGTTGGTCACCGGCTACCACGAGACTGCATCTCTTAACGATGCTCCACTGCCTTGAAGGCTAGACCTTTAGGTCAAAGGCTCGGGGTGTGGCCCCCGAAGATAACCACCTGCTTCGGTTTGGGCACCCGGGCAGTATCACAGCCCACACACAAATATGATGAACTGCCTATAATTATGGAAACTACTTTACTTGCTTCAACTAACAACCAAATGATTCAAGTGATTATTATTACTTTTATTATTATTATTGTTATTATTTACCACATTATTCACCCTCTTTTATACTTATACAGCGGCTCGTCTTTGGCGGAAATTCGACTGTATCTAAACGTTCTCGAGTCACTGTCCGGTTGAAAATTGTACGTAACCACTGAATATGAGTACTGAAGCAGTTTTTCTGAAATCACGTGCACCATTCAAACTGGCCGCCTTCAACGTTCGCACACTTATGCAGGTTGGACAACAGATAGGGCTGGCTATGTCTTTGGAAAGTCTTAATATTGATGTCTGCCGTCTATCCGAGACCCGTATTCAAGGCTCTGGTGAAGTACTACAAATTCGCTCTTCGTCTGTCGTTTCGAAAAGCTTGTTTTACGTGCGCTTATCCGGGGACCCCGTGGCATCTTCGTCTGGTCTTGCTGGCGTTGGTGTCGCACTAAGCGCTAGAGCTGAGGCAGCACTAATCGATTGGATCCCCATTAACAGTCGGTTATGTGCTGTTAGATTAGAAAGTTCCATCAAAGTGAGAAGAAATCAGCGTGAGAAACGATGTCTTTTCGTCATCTCCGCCTATGCCCCGACAGATTGCAGCCCGGATGCAATCAAGGAGGAGTTTTACCACCAGTTATCTGTTCTTCTCCAGAAAGTGCGTTCGACAAATATTGTAGTACTAGCCGAAGACTTGAATGCGCAGGTCGGGCGTTTAGGCACAGAAGAGAGTCGTTTAGGTGGCCGATGGGGACTCGTTGGTCGCAGGTCAGATAACGGGGACCGTCTACTGCAACTTTGCACAGACCACAACCTGTTTCTGGCTAGCACTAACTTTCGGCACAGTCATCGCCGATGTGCTACCTGGCGTCCTCCCTCTGCGTTACGTAAGGAAATCGGGCAAAGCTTGCGTAAGGACCAAGGAGCCTGGTGGTCGAAGAGTGCTAATGAGTTGGAGGTAACAGCTGCATCTGGTAACTACCGGAAGCTCTTCCAACTCATCCGAGCCACTGGCAGCAAGAAGTCTGGTGTGAGCGAAACAATCTGCTAGGATGATGGGATGCCAATCACTAACATCCATCGACGTCTTGGACGATGGGCAGAATTCTTTGAAGGGCAGTTCAACTGGCCTGCTGCTCCGGCAACATCGGTCAGACTGTCCTGCCCTCCATGGTCGGTGACGACTGATCCAGAAAATGAGGCGGAAGCCCACAAGGAACTCCAATTCTTGAAACGTTACAAATCAACTGGCCCAGATGACTTACCTCCGGCTCTTTTTAAAGATGGTGGTGACTTTCTGACTAAGGAATTGACGACGTTGTTTACAAAGGTCTGGAAACTAGAGAGTGTGCCAACGTTATGGAATGAGTCGATAGTTGTCCCTATCTTTAAAAAGGGTTCACGTCGTTCCTGTAACAACTATCGGGGGATAAGTCTACTTCCGATTGCGTCCAAGCTATTGGCTTCCGTCATACTTCGTAGGTTGTTCAAAACCCGAGAAAGATTGACTCGCGAGGAGCAGGCTGGTTTTCGTTCTGGTCGAGGATGTATTGATCATATCTTCACCCTCCGCCAAATGTCAGAACACCGCCACACTTATCAAAGGCCAACAATCATAGTGTTTCTTGACATCAGGGCTGCCTTCGATTCGTTGGATAGGACTGTTCTCTGGTATTGTCTGTTGAAAAAGGATGTGTCTGAGAAGTTTATTAACATCCTAAAAGCCCTATATACAAACACCTCAGGCAGAGTGAGGGCATACAACCACCTCTCTCCATTGTCCCATTCGAGTAGTGGGGTTAGGCAGGGTTGCCCAATCTCACCATTCCTCTTCAACTTTGCCATCGATGACATTCTGGAAACAACTCTGATGGATATAAGTAATGGTGGTGTGGATCTGTTGCCTGGAGAAAGACTTCTCGACCTTGGGTATGCGGACGATATTGTCTTACTGTGCGATAATGCCCAAGGCATGCAATCCGCACTTAATCAGTTGGCAATCAGTGTCCGTAGGTACGGTATGTGCTTTGCACCTTTGAAGTGCAAAGTACTTCTACAAGACTGGCAGGATTCTAATCCTGTACTCACCCTGGATGGTGATCAGATAGAAGTAGTCGAGAAGTTCATGTGTCTAGGTAGCTGCATAAGTGCTGGTGGTGGTGTGAGTGATGAGATCAATCCACGTATGGTGGAAGCCAGAGCGACTTATGCCAATCTGGGCCATCTTTGGCGCCTTCGTGATGTTAGTCTGACTGTAAAAGGTCGGATCTACAACGCGTCGGTGAAAGCAGTTTTGCTTTATGCTTGTGAAACCTGGCCTCTCCGAGTTGAGGATGTTAGACGACTCTCGGTGTTCGATCATCGTTGTCTCCGAAGGATCGCTGGCATCTAGTGGCAATACCATGTCAGTGATGCAGATGTTCGGTATCGTGTGTTCGGGCAGAGATGATAATGCGATCGATGTCACCATCTTGAAACACCGACTTCGGTGACTTGGACATGTTCTACGAATGTCGTCCCAGAGAATTCCACGTCGTGCATTATTTGCCGACTCTGGGACTGGTTGGAAGAAGCGGAGAGGTGGTCAGTGCATGACATGGTGTCGTGGTATGAAAGAAAGCTGCAAAGGACTGGCTTGTGTTGGTCCTTCACGACTCCCTGGTTGGGGTCCGAGAGATGATGCTACACAGTGGCTAGAGACGTTATCAGATAGGGCTCAGAATAGAAGCCAGTGGCGATCCTGCTGTAACCTTCTTTTACTTTATTCATAAAAAGTAGTCGTTTCTCCTTCAACTGAAAGATCACTTCTGATTGTACCTTTCCGTCCCCTCGTTATTACTATTATTATTACTGCACTACCTTACACCAATCTCTTCGTTATTGTTCTCTTTTTTTCTTTTCGAACTCTCATTGTTTTGTGTGGCGCATATAAATTGGCGCTCTCTTGCACCAATATTTATGCGTCCAAATAAAATAAATAAATAAATAAAATAACGATTTGAGACACACTGATAAATGTAAATCATAAGGTTGTCAGTGATCAGTATCCGAAAAGCTCAAAAGTGGTCTGAATAACCTAAACGTACCTATCCTAGATTTGAAGTTCAAGTATGCCCTTCATATATAACTTTTTATCGTATCCCTTAACTGTTTTCTTATTATTTACTCTCTCATTATCACTGCTACAACACTCAAAGTCAGCTATAACTATCAAAAATAACATGAGTCTGAATGTTTTAAACGTACTGAATTCCTCATGCAAATTTATTTTGATAAAGTAATGGTATGATTACTTATGGTATTCTGAAAACTCAACCGGTTATTTGCCCATGTACAGGTGATAAGCAGTAATATGGTTTGATATAAAGGAAAAGACAAGATTACAGATGACGAATTATTGAATTCCCAACAACTGATCCATCACAGTTTTAACCATTAATTTTACCACTGAACCAAAAACTAGGTAAAGAGTGCACGAATTGACGCAACAAAAGGGCTATTGATAACTAAATGTTCACCAACTTGAAAATGTACATGCTGGAACCTGTCGTAAAGTACATCAGCGCGTCAGTACTTAGATTATGAAATGTTTGGATTACTATACCCGATTTATGTGCGACCACATTTAGAATACGGGATTCAAGCAGCGAGTCCTTGTTTCAAATATGAAGCAGATATGCTAGAAAGAGTCCAACGACGAGCTACTAAGATGGTACAAGGTCTATCTGGCATATCTTATGAAGACAGACTGAGACACCTTAACTTATTTCCGTTATCTTACCGTAGAGTACGAGGTGATCTAATATTGGCTTATCGTATACTGAACGATGACCTTGGTATTAACATGTCTTGTCTTTCGCTTCCGTCTAGAACCGATCATTTGAGAGGACATTCGAAGAAAGTTCAAAAACCGAGATCAAACCGTTTACGTTTGGAGTTCCGTTTCTAGCACCGAGTAGTGAATTACTGGAATTCCCTACCGGAACACGTAATATCAGCACCGTCTGTTAATATATTCAAAACGAGATTGGACCTCCACAGCATTACAAACTGCAAGGATTAATATAGGTCGACAGACCTATCCTTATTACTGAAGACTGAAGACTGACTGAAGCACACATTCACACAAAAAACACTTTCATAGTTACCCAGA